TAAGAATCTATCAGTTAATGATATATAAGCTATTTCATGGGTCTTCAACATCAGGACAATGTGACTTTAAACTGTGAATACAATACAGCGGGGTTCATAACACCAATTTAATGGGCTATGCCACCAGTTAATGACCTCCTAAAGAAGTAGAATAAAATTCTAAAAATCAGAATGCATCATATATAGTAAAAGCGAGTAGTTGCATGAAAATTTCATTGCCAGCTTTTATATAAACAGTGTGTATATGAACATACAGGTGCTTTGTAATGAGGTACAATTACCTAAGAAGTGCATGGCATCTCTGCATTCATCCATTCATCCAATATACAGTGCTAAGTAACTATCATGGGAAATGTCTAATGTTAGGTTTTTCTAGACTGGGAGAACATACCAAAAACCTAGCCTTTGAGATAAAATGGTTACAGATTACATTATTTTGCACAAAAAATTGAATGGTCAGGATACTGGATAAGAGCTTTTGTTTTGAATTACAGTTGCCTGACTGATCTACAACACAGTAGCCTCCAAATACTAAGTCAAATATTAAGATTTAAGCATCAAATAACAACTTTTGAACTTTGAAAGAAATTAACAAATTTTCTTATTAGATGACTATGAATTATTTCAGTGTCCAGGATGACAAGATAACCTTCATCTGTTTATTTCTCTATAAGATTGTTTGAAAGAGTTATCTAAACATGAAACTCAACTTGCTCATACTTCAGAACCCAGTGTCTGGGAAACTCATTTGTCTAGGAATAACTTGGATTACTTTCTAAATTAAACTGACTGACTGGAAATAATATTTTTTTCATAACAGTAGAGTTTAAAATTGATCTCAAGAACCGGTATTCAATTTTAAAACTTCATTAAAATAAACTAACATTCATATTGGTAACAAATTCTGAAAATCAAATATGTTGGTATTAGGATATCAGAATTTTGACAACAACTTCATCTTTAAAAAGTTTTATTGTAAAGCACCATGAAATAATTTTAGAAGAACAAACTATTGTTAAAAGCCGACTGAGTCAGGGAATTGTGAACTGTCCTAAATTACCAGAGCTGAGCATGATAACTCCGTCAAGGGGAAAAGTATCAGATTTCACTTTCAATTTCAAAGTAACAATTTTTTAAACCCTACTAGTTGTATCTTTTATTCAATGTCTACTCTAAAGTTTAAAATACAGTTGCTATTTTTTAATTAAAATGTTTAAAATATATATAATAGTTTATTTTTACATCATTTTGTGCATTTTTCCATGTCATTTGCAATCCCCTTGGGACAGTGGCTATTTTTGGTTAGTCCTTCTACTGTAACTCAGATGGTAATATCCAGGGTGCAAGATTAAGAAATTTGACTGTATTTCTGGCAATTAGTTTTCTTACACTGCACGGGATTCATTTTCTGGTGTCTGGTTTCTAGAGGTATTTGAGGTAACAGTCTTGAAAATACAGTTTAAAGACTTATTAAATATTTCACCATCTGGTCTCCACCTACCCCAGTCTTACTTCCTGCTGATTTTATGCTTACTCCACCTCCCTTCCCCTCTCCCCATTTTTGCTGCCACCATATGTTTCAAATTGGATTCAAGGTTCCCTGAATGTGTTAACCACCTGCATCATTTGGTCTTTGTATATATCTTTTCTTTCAACCTGAAAACCTACTATTTTGTTTCATTCCCTGACAAACTCCTACTCATTCTTCAAAACAAACTCAGGGGCCCTCCCTGGTGGCAAACGGGCTAGGATGCAGCACTGCAAGCTGGCTGCAGCCATTTCAGTGAGTTTGATCCCTGGCCCTGGAGCTGACCCACATGGCTCAGCAGACCTTTCCTGTCTCTCCCACTGTGCCCCTCAGCAATGTACTTCATCCATCTGCCTGTTCTGCTCCTCACTCTGTCTCTGGTGAACCCCCTCACCGCCCCTGCACCTCTGGTCTGCACCCCAGTCCTGTCTGCATAAATAAATAAATCTTCAAAAAAATAACAGTCGTTTTCAATTCTTGCTTCAATCATCATTCTGTTCTCCCATTCTTCCTTTTCATGCCTATATCAAATTCTTTAAAAAATTTTAATTAATGCTTACTTGTCACTATCATCAAACAAATGGTTCAAAAACAGGGAACATTTGTCTATCATCTTTGAATACATGGTATTCAATATTCAAACATTTCTGGTGTATAAATGACTGTCACTCTGAACTTCGAGTACCACCTCAGCAATATCCTGGCTATATAAGCTTAGGCTAGTTAACTTCTCTAAGCCTTAGTACCAACAACTTTAAAATGAGGAAAGAGTAACTAACTCATTATGAGTTGTCAAGAATAAGAGAGTTTTTAAATCACCATAATAATAACTGGTCCATCAAATCCTAAAACCACCTGGTGAAAGTTTGTGGGAGAAGGTATACCCCTCCACATATCATTTGCTAACAGTCAGTGGAAAAAAAGATAACTTTTACAACACACATCAGCTGAACAGAATGATTAAACAAGTACCACAAATAATGGGACAAAAAAGCTTCAGAGGCCATGTGATTTGATGCACATGGAAGTGTCTAGATCTAAATGATGCTAAAAGGGATGGATCTTTGACTGGATCTCTTCTGTCTTCTAAAATGCTTTGTTGGTAATAAAAACTATAAAGAATACATTGAGACAACTAGAGAGATCTGAATGCTGTAGTATTAGACAATGGCTTCACCCTGAAGTAAAATTTCCTGCACATTGCAAAAAATAACACAGTTCTGTAGAAGACCAGCATTGTTTCTAAAGTAAATGTAATTTAACTGATAAAAATTTTAACATATAAGTAATACAAGTGCTTAGGAGTTAAGTGGCACGATTTCTGTAATTACTATGATTCAACAAAATGCATATGCTTCAGAAAGAGGAAGCAAAATATGACCAAATATACATAATTGATGAGCCCAAGAACATACAGATTATTGCTTTTATATAATTAAAACATTCCCCTCGTATTTGAAATTATTCAAATTTAAGCACTGGCAACCTTTTCTAAAACAAAAGATTAAATGAACATGCATATCTGATGCTTTGCATAGCACTGTTACAAGGTGAATTACTGTTTAAACAGATGACATTATTATTAACTTTCGAAACAGTCAACTCAAAACAAATGTGGCAGATTGTCTAAAACTGGATCAGAAACAGTTCATAAAACTGAACAGTTCTATAACAAATCTAGTACCATTAAAAAAAAAACTAACATTCCTAATCATGTAAGTTTAATCCACTCTGAGGTCTTCTTTAAAGAATACAGCAGTTTCTACCATATATGCTGGTCTTTTCTCTAGACGCCAAGGATAACAGAAACAGATAAAAACACCTACCTTCTTAGAAATTTTAGTAAAGACAGCAAATTATGCGAGGAATGGTAAACTGCTGTCTTTCAAGTGTTAATACTAAACACTGGGTGTTAGAAGTGCAGAAAATAAAGCAGAAAAGGAAAAAAGACAGTAGGAAAGATTACGATTTAAACAGGGCGTTCATGGAAGACCTCACTGTGGTCTAGGCAAAATTTGGAGCCACCTAACAAAAGAGCATCGAGGAACTTGCCTCGCAAGGTCAAGGCTCGGTGAGGTCAGCGTGACTGGAAGGAATGAGCGAACAGGAAAATGTGTAGATGGGGCCTGAGATGAAATGGGGCAAGGGGCTGGTCACCTATCACATATACCACTGAAGAGGCTTTATCTTTCCTCTCAGAGTTGTGGGAGCCACAACAGGTTCCTGAGCAAAGGAATGACATGATGCACGATATTGAGGGCACCAGATTTAGTATCAATGCTTCCCACTGAACTCCGTGATTCCCAATGCCACCCTCGCTACCCCGGCCAGATCACCTTCCAATTGAAGCTGACACCGAGAAATGTGGGGTGCATGCTCGGATGGGACAACACTGGCATGGGACATTTTTTCTGCCACAGTTCCCCTATCTGCTCCGAGACAACCCATCCCATCCACAGGGACACACATACAACAGAGAGGTCACACTCGCCAGGTAAACACACACCTCCCCATACACCCTCCGGGCGCGTGGGGTGAAGCCAGCCTCTGCGAGGGGAACCCCCCCCGTTCACCCGGGCCACCGAACACTCACCCTCAGATTCCCCTTGGTTCTCTGCTTGTTCTTCCCGCCCATGATCGCTGTCTCTGCCGCACTTCCAGCCCGCAGCCCTAGGGTTGACACGGCCGGGCAACAACTTCCGGCCTCTGGCGCCGGAAGAAAGCCCACTGGATCGCCGTCCAGCCCGCCCCTTCCGCTACCCACCCCGCCCTCCAGTGACCCAATTTCCGCTCCGCCGCAACCCCGACCAAGCGCCTGCTGGAGACGTCACAATTAGGACACCTGTCTGATGTCATTCCTGTCCAATAGGAAGCCACGCGTGAGTCCCAAGTGGACAAAGATTGTATTTGGCGCTTTCTGGGAGCAAGATCTGTCCCCAATTTAGTGGGTAGGAAGTTGTATTGCGCTTTAAGAGGGGCGTTTAGGAGGAGCTAGAATGACATGCTAGAGGCTGTGGGAAGGTAGGAAAATATTAAATCATTTAAAATGCAATCATCAGCGTTACTGGGCGTTTATTAGAAATGCAGACTGTTGCCCACGGCGGGATTACTGAATCACTTTCTGTACTTAAAAAGATTCCGAAGATACTATTAAAATTTGAGGACATGCTCGCCAAATCCCATTTTGCATTTCAGCGGTGTTATGTACAGTTTTTAAAAGAGTGTGGTAAGGGAAGCTATTCAAGATTGAAGGCGCAAATCTTCTAACAGTGTTTTTTCTTCCCAGTATCGCACTAGAAAGACATAAGCACGTGTTTTTTGTTACTACTTGAATGTTCACCCTTTGATCTCAACTCCACGACACTGAGGCTCTGGAAACTTTCTCCTTTGTTCCACTGACTACATCTTAGGTTTTCTTCAACATAGGGGGCCAGGAAACTCAGAGGTGAGAGGAAGAAGGGCCTTGCCTCATGTTAGTACAATCCCAGCAGAGGTGCTTTACCTTAGCAGCAGCAACTGGTTTAGAAAGCAATTGGCTTTAAGTCTTCTATCTTTTTCACCCCCCCAACAATCACAAAGTCAACATTTTAGCACTCCTCAAGAAGACTAGTAGCAGCCAGGCAAGTCCCTCTTCATAGTCTCAGCTCTGACACCCTTCTTTGAGCTCTGTATCAGTGATACTCCCTCTTCAGAAATCTGGACCCCAACACTAGGGGGTCCTTTCTTTGACCTCTGGAAGACCAGCAACTTCGAGGCAGGTGCTGAACTAACGCCCAGCTTTACAAGACCGTCCCCCAAGCTTCCAAGTTCTGATTCTCAAATATCTTCTTTCTTTCCTTTCTTAGAAATATAGTAGTTACTGTAAGGAGTAGTAGTCAGAAACTCTAGATGAACAGTGGGTCCATCTGGCTATGTGGCAGCATTGTAGGAAGGATTGACATTTCTAGGGCACTGACAGGGTAATGAGGTGGGCAGCAGAGATGGAATCTGAAGGATATAAAATTCACATCCAAGACACTGCTAAAGATACCATCTTGATTCTTACCTGTGCTTAGCTACCTTTATATTTAAGATCAATCCACATTGCTGTGTCCATTCTACTCAATCCCTTCTGAATTCTACATGCTATTACTTAATACATACCATACTTAGTGATGACCCAGATTGCCTTCACGTAGGTCTAAGTAATCTACTGCATTGTGTCTCCCGGGATCTCACTCCCATAACCAAGTCTGACACTTCAAGGACTATCCAAACACATGGTATCAACCTGAGTGCTAAATTATCAATTTGATGACCTTTTAAGTCCTTTTAAAATTTTTGAGCTGTGCTCATACTTCAGCCTGCTGTGAGGTGAGCTCAGAAGCAGGAACAGAGCGTAAGTATCCACAAATAGAGATGAACTAGCAATTTTTCAGAAAATCTTCACCTTTTAGTGTAGCAAATGCTTTGGGTAGATGTAAACCAGAAGATTTGAGAAAAACCTTATTATACTAGTTTTCTGTTGCCAGTAACAGATACAGAAATCTAACACTGATTTGATTTCATAATAAGCTGTTTAGAGATGGGTTGGGGTTGGTGTTGGATAAGCAGTTCAACAACATGGAAACTGGCACTTCTGTGGTTTTCTTGGTGGTTGAAACATCAACTCCAGCTGCCGCTCTGGGGTTCATGGCTGCCAGAGGGAAGCAGTGCCCAAGCTGCATCTATCATTTGAACCAGGAAAACAAACACTTTCCCAGAAGTCCTTCAGCCAAAGCCATGTCCTATGGCCGCCCAAGTTGCAAGAGAGGCTGGGAGGGTGTACACTTAGCTTTCCCAGGATCTTTAGTTAAGGTGGGTAAGGGGGAAAGGGAGAAGGAATAACAGATAGCCATTATCTTTCTCAACTATAATTTTTTTGTTCAAAATTAGTCATTTTTATGTCAAAAAGTACCAGTGATTTTAGGATTATAATTTGAACTCAGTTCTGCTTTCAATGATGACATTTGTCACATGCTTTTCTTACATAGATACAATTCTTATAAAGAACAGTGCTTTGCATTCTAAGATGGGACAAAAGTAAATCTAGTTACTCTTTCTAGAAAATGAGAATAAAGTTGAAAGGCCAACAACAAAAAATGTTTTCCACTATTCTGCTCAGTCATTGTCCTTCCACACCAAAAAACATCTGAAAAACATCCCCACATCCTCTGGAATTTAAAAATTGATACAGCTGACCAAAGTCCATATGGTTTCCTCTGGCTCCATTAACATTGAACACCTTTTCCTCAAAATTTGAAAATTTTCTTCGACTTTCCATTTCATCATCTGTCCCATCCAAAGGAATGTCTTCTCGATGCCGAATTAAAATTCTCTTCCAGTTTAGTTTTCTGACTCTGAAAAAAATTTTCAAGTAGAAGTTTTGAAATTGTATTGAATAGTTGAGAGCATTGAAAGTAAAAGTTAGAAAGCAGATTTATCCATATGCCCTTTCCTAAAAGTAATATTTTTTTCTCACAGGGATTTTACTCAAATATGATGCATTATAATCTCATCCTGAACTAATTTATTGCCACTATCACTACTATGTATCAGCATTTTAGAAATGTGTAAATTGTTGAGTCTTAAAAACGCAAAAGAGACTGCTCAGGAACTCATCAAAGGTAACAGTAGAGAAATGAGATGAGAAATCCTCTTGTGCCATGCTGTAAACACAGCTACAGATTCTCTAAGTGAAGAGAGAACCAGATCAGTGGAAAGGGAAGGCTCATTAAGGCATGTTAGGCAGGGGCTCCACTCAATATTCCTCTGCAGAACATCTATGTATGCACGTTAAGTGAAGTGCAATGCTGATCATATCTGAGTCTGGTTTTACCCAGACAATCTCCATAAAATAACAGGACACACTAATTTCTGTATCTCTTACATCTCAATGAGGACTAAAATTATTGGCATGGCATATAAAATTTGTGAGCAAACCTTGACCAGAATTCCTCACAGGCGCTTTGTGGGCCTTCCACACAAACAACACCAGGTTTCCCAGGCATGCTAAACCCAGACAGGGAAAGCTCCTTTGCCCACTCTAAAATATTCTTTCTTTTGCATTTGTTGTAGATGTGATGGCTATAGATCCAGAGTCTTGTAAGAATGAGATCTTCTGGCCGCACTGTATTTCCAGCAGTGGGGGCAGGTGTGGCATTTCTGCTGACGTACTCACTGGCGTGTTCTCTAACCCACTCTGTGGCATTCAGTATACAGACATCTCCAAGATAATTCTTTTGCAAGTAAATGTTCAGATCTGTGTTTAGCTGAGTCTGCTGTGATCTACTTAATAATACTGATCTGATGGAAAAGACATAGGATAAAACAATAATTTAATTTTTTGGAACAGAAAACAAACAAGAAACTATTAGTTTTCAGATTAATTTGGACTTCTGAAACTGGCCAGTTTCTATCACATACCTGACAGTAATTTCAGGTAGAACTGCAGGGTATTTAAAGGGAAGAATACAAGCCAGAGAAAACATCGTCTGATTAAAAAAAAAAAAAATTCCCTTAGTGTTAACTCTTTACATGTTTCAGTTCTTCCAATAGCAAAATTGAATTACCGTTGATTCCTCAGATACATCCAGGTTCACATTGATAGTAAAGTAAACTTTTGAAGATCGTCCCTCCGTTGTCTTCTTCTCAATACAGTCTTTCAGTTCTGCTAAAGCCAGCTGGTCATTCACAATGAACTCGTTCTCACCTGGGAACATACTGGCCAACAGGTCTAACTCAGACAGCTGGGCTTCTGCCTGTTCAATGTCACTCATGTTGGATATCGTGAGTGTCTAAGGAGGTAAGGAAAAACAGGAAATGTGCGCATACCATCCATCTTGGGAGAACTCAATAGGTAAATATGACTATTTACTGAAAATGTATTTGATTTCTTCATACAGTGGGAAGTTTAATCAGGCTACCTGCATTATTCTACTTACAGATGAAATAAGCTAAGGACCCAAAATAGTGTAGACTCCATGAAAGTCAGAAAACTCTAGTATTAATGAGGTATCAAATTCCTCTGTATCTAGATCGTTGATCTGGTATCATGAGCTACCATAATGAGTAACTGCATTGAGCATGGTAGGCATTAAAAGCCCTATTTATGACATAACCTGGAGATAGGCTATGACTAGACCTTGAAAACCTAGAATTAACAGAATAAGAAAATCAGTTATGTGAATGGGTGATTTTATTCCCTTAAGTTAACTTTTACTAGTTTTAAAAAGCAGTATAGGGCCCTCCCTGGTGGTGCAATACTTTTAAGCGCAGCACTATGAACTAGCCACAGATGCTAGAGCATGAGTTCGATCCCTGGCCATGGAGGTGACCCACATGGTACAGCAGACCTCTCCTGTCTCACCCACTCCTCTCTTCAGCAGTATACTTTGTCAACTTGTCTGTTCTGCTCCCCACTCTGTCTCTGGTGAATCTGCTCACTGCCCCTGCACCTCTGGCCTGTACCCCAGTTCTGTATGCATAAATGAATAAATCTTTTTTAAAAAGCAATATTAAATAGAGGCAAAATTACTCCATAGCTCAAGCAACCCACATTCACATTTAAAAAATAAAAATCCAAAAAATAAAATAAATTAAAATAAAAATAAAAATCCAGGTTATACAATTTAAGTGGTAGAGGAAGCTTAAAAAATGAAAATATTGTTTCCTGCTGATGATTTCTTCCTTTGTGTACCTAAGAGCCTAAGCCAAGAGAGTTCTTAGTGTTTCAAAACAGAAATTCTTTAAGCACTATACATACACATATATGGAAATACATGATGGTATAGCATATAAATATAAAAATCTGAAAACATCTAAGCATGATATATATATATATATATGTATATATATACACACACACACACACACACACACACACACACGTGGAAAACATTATTGGGTACAAGTAAATCTATGTACAGAGTGAGATGTATAAGTTAAATGTGTCAGTGTTTTCTCCCTACTTCCTATCCCTTTTCTCTCAAATATATTTAGGAGATCTACTCACTGTCAGCCTGGTGGTCTATCTCACTCTTTCTAGTGGTTGACTGTCAAAATGCCTTAATTTATTGCATTCTTTACCTACTGGTAAACACTTGGATTACTTCCACATTTTTGCTATTATGAATAATTCTATAATAAAATTTCATAAATACAGTTTGGTGAATTGTGAATATTTTATATTCAAGGATAAATTTGTAGAGGTGGCTTAATGGATTAATAGGTGCAACATGTTAAACTTTGGTAAATATTGTCAAATTGCCTTCTAGAAAGCTACCATGTATAAAATGTTTATAATCCCCTTCTTTAAATAGAAATCTTGATACATAGTTGTTTTGTATCTGTATGTTGCATTCATGAGTTTTTATTTTTAGGTAAGCAAACTCATCAATTTTTTCTGTTATGCTTCTGATTGTAAATGTTAGAAAAACCTCCCCCTCCTGCAAGGCTAGTATAACTAGGCATTTTAAAAATTTTTTAAAGTTAATACATTGATTTTTAATTTTATTTGCAAGAAAGAGTAGGGAGCCTTCTGATAAAACCTGGAGGTTGGGCCTATGTGCTGATTTCCAGTTCTCTATGACTCCTATTAAAAAGAAAGTAAAGAAAGATAAAAGGAGAGAAAGTACAGATAAAACCTGTTAACAAAAGGGGAGGAACCGCAGAACTCCCCAGGTACCTTGGCAAGGAGTGGAAAACATGCATTTATTGAAAGTCTAGTCTTTAACTAGACCCTGGTTTAGGATTATTAATCTCAATATGGTTCACACTTTGGATCAGGTAATTCTTTATGTGTGTGTACATGTGATTTTCTTTTATTTAGATATTTACATTTTAATGAACTTATTGATAGGTTAGGGCTTTAGCCAATCACTTTATTTTCTATGTTTTTTACTTCTTTATTTTCCCTGCCATTTTGTTTTATCTGTGATATCTTTGCAATATATTTGTTTATAGTTTTTTAGTGGCTACTCTAGTAGAGACACACACGTGCACACACACACACACATCAATGTCTACTATGAGTGAAGTACAGAAACCTCATATCATTTTATGTGACTTTATATTCCCCCATTTATAATAAATGATCCAGAGAATTTCTTGCAATACATTTAGAACTGTAAAATTTTATGATTTTTATCTCAACTATCAAATATAGAAAACTCGAGAAATTCCTCTTTATTCATATTTTATATTTTTCATTATATTTCTTTCATATATCTTTATTGTTTTTTTTTTTCCTATTTGGAGAACTTCTTTTAGCCATACATCAGTGACAAATTGTTTTAGCTTTCCTTCATCTTAGAATGTCTTCATTTCCCCTTTATTCCTGAAGGGTATTTTTCACTGGATATTTTATTTTGGATTGACATTTCTTAACTTTCAGTACTTGAAAAACATTAAACCCCTTCCTGCTGGCCTCCATGGTTTCTGATGAGCTATCTTCTCTTACCTGAATTGTTTTACATTATAGGTACAGTTCATTTCCCTCTGGCATCTTTCATGCTTTCTAATTTTTCCTCCCAGAAGTCTGACTACTGTATGTCTTTATAGGACTTGTGTCAGGTTCATCTCTCTTGAGATTCATTCAACTTTTTGAATCTACTTACACCTTTTGACAAATTTGTTAAGTTTTCAGCCACTATCTCTTCAAGTACTTTTTGCAACTCCACCTTCTGTCTCCTTTCTTTCTGGGACTCTGATGGCATGAACATTAGATCTTTTGTTACAGTCCCACATACCTGTAAAACACTTTTAATTTTGCTTTATTTTTTCTCTGTTGTTTGACTGGGTTCATTTGAACTATATCTTTCAGTTTACCATTTCTTTCCTCTGCCCCTTCCTACTGTTGTCAAACCATCCACTGTGATTTAAATTTGGGGTAATTATTTTTTAGTTCTAACAATACAATTTATTTTTTTCTTATAGGTCCTATTTCTTTACTGAGATTTTTTTTTTTTACTTGCTTCAAGTGTGTCTATAATTGCTCATTGAAAAATTATTGACAGTACTTTTAAATATAGCAGAAACAAGACTGAGTTACATTTCTGAAAAGAAAAACAGTTCAATCCCATAACTGCAACAACAACAATAAAGAAAAAAAACAAAAACATGGCTTACCTTCTCAAAGAGAATTTTTAGTCAAACACCATTATATTAGTGAAGTCTTCAGGGAATTCTTTCTCGTCTTTGGTAAAGGTTTATTGAGTAGCTCCTGTGTGTGGAGTTTCATACTTCATTCCTCCCAGGGATCTTCTATTTAGTTTGAAAATCAGGAAGTATATCTAATAAGATATAGAACAATAAAGATAAGTAGGCTAAGTGTTAAACAGACACTTAAAATATTATCATGGGATTAAAGTCAATGAAATAGCTATCAGTAAATATTTGAGGAAGGAGGCAAGGTCTGAGTTATGCCTTGAAGGAAGGGTGAAACTTAGACAAATAGAGGAAGAGATATAGTGAGGAGAAAGGAAAAAGATCTATCCCCCAGGAAGGCAACAGAAAAATAGTGTAAACCTGAACCTATCCCTTCTTCCCAATCCTAATAGAAAGCTGAATTCAGTGGCTCATTATTTGGACTATTTTCTCTTGTAGTACCAGTTACTTTCTGTATACTTCTGACACCTGTTTGTTCCCATGCCTGTTCTTTCTTTTCCCAGCCTAGGACTCTGGACAGCTGATCTCCACTCCATTCTTGTACCTTTCTTGTCTTGGGTTCAACTAATGCCTGGCAGGAAGTAGGAGGACAGAAGAGAAAGAAGCCACAGTATTCCTTCCTGGCTTTGGTGTATCCAGCAATGGAATCCCGAGGCCCAAAGTTTCTACAGGTGGCCCTTCTTCCTCACCCCCAGCAGTGTCTTCAGGGCTGGGATAGTTAAGATTGCTTTTTTAAAGCTGGCTATTCCTTGGCAAATAGTCCATTCATGAAATAACTTCTTCAAAGCTGTTAAGTATCTATTTCTTCCAGAGCTTTGATCCGTCTTACCTGTCTCTAAAGTCTCTCCAACTAATTATGCCACACACAATCCTGCTGGTAGTTTGCAGAGTCCCATAGAACACACAATAATGTGTAGGAAAACATGGAAGAAAGTGGGGAGAACAGATAAATATATAATTCCTGGAGGCCATAATTGTGGCTTGCATTAGAGTGTGATCAAAATGTTCACCTTCTGGACATAAAGAGTAGAAACAACAGGATTTACCAATGAATTAGATGTGGTATGTTAGAATAACTCCAAAGCTTGAAGCAACTGGTAGGATGGATTTAATTACATGGGGAAGAGGGAGACATGAAGCTTGGTTTCTATCAAGATACCTATGAAGTACATGTGTCCAGCAGGCAGTTGGGTGTACAGTTACAAGGGGTCAACCTAATTCGAGGTGTAATCTGGGAAGTCATCAACATTTATTTAAAAACATGTTTGTTTTTAAATAAATGTGAGTGAGTGAGATTGGAAGGCCTCGCTGAGGTTAAAGATCTCAAAGATAATGTGGAAATAGCAAAGAAAACAAGCGACTGTGGGCGCTTACAATTTTTAAGTCAGTCATTTATTTGCCAAATTATTTTCATAGATTTAAGTTTGAGGGGCCAAGGGGTTAAAACGCAGCCACTGCAGGAGCTAGATCCCTGGCCAGGGAGCTGACCCACATGGCCCAGCAGTCCTCTCTTGCCCCCTCCCCCTCCCCTCAGCAGTATATTTGTCAGTCCGCCTGTTCTGCTCCCTATTCTGTCTCTGATGAATCCTGTCGCCAGCCTCCCCACTCTGGCCTGAACCCCAGTTTTTGTATGCATTATGAAAAAAAATCAATCTTTAAAAATTGTTTTCCAGTGTCTGCTATAAGAATGGAAAATGACACTGGATTCTCCTTACTGGACTCATTTTTAATCGTACATTTTTTTTTTTGGATAGTATTTTAAAGAACTTAGTGCCCACCGCCCAGGAACAGACCGCAGCCCAAGTCCTCTTCGCTGGCGCTGGCACAATGCCCCTAACAACCCAGAGTTGGAGGAGAGGGGAGGATCCCGGATACGGGCGGGGCCAGAAGCCGAAGCTAACCAACGAGCAGTGTGCGGCTCGGGGGACGACGTGGCCACGAGGTCTCGAAATCCGCGAAAGGTGGGACCGGCCGCTGCAGCGGCCCTGAGCGGTTCAATGGACGGAAGACTCACCTTGAGCCTTGCCCCACTCGGTGCGGTGTCCTATGCCGTCCTGGCCGCAAGGATAGTCAATTCCCATCGGGAGCGTGCCCAGAATTCCAGGCCTATAGGGCCCGAAGGCTCCTCCCGAGCTGTGCGGCGGAGCGGCCCAGGGGCGTGAGCGCGCGTTCTCAAGCCGCGCAGGCGCGCGTGCGTGCACCCAGCACTTCCCGGCGGCCCGGGAATGTGGCGAGCTACTGGGGTGCCAGGCTGGGCAATTTTCCACCCGGCCGCTGAGTTTTGATTTCATCCCATTGGCATTTCCCACGCACCGACAGTGCCACGAAGTAAGCACTGTTGGGGGTGGGGGTGGGTGTCAAAGAAGGGTTCGTGAAAATAACGCGCTTTCACAAGAGAACAAACCTAGGAATTATTCGGGGATCTTGGCAAATAATGCAGATTCAGTGAGAAAGTGACATTTATGGTGTGAACCAAATTACAGTAAGACTCCAGCCGCAGAAGATAAAAGGGAACAGCATTCCAGGTAAAGGAAGTAGGCGATACATGAAGATACCTGAGTCCATAAGACTCTGCAGAGTTCCTTTAGGACGTCCTTCCCCTTAACAGTAAGACTAAGTTAGAAGAGGGGGGCAAGCTCGCAAATGACACCACCTGGCCGATTCGACTGGCTAGAATGCCATTCGCTTAACTTACTCATCCAATTACTAACTAGGATGACCGACGTTTACATCTCCTAGGATCAGTTCTTCTTCTCCTGCGAATTACCAATTTAGATCCCTCGCCTATTTCCCCCCCTCCCCCTGCTGGCACCTGCCCCTTTCCTAAATAGCGATGATTGTCTCCTCGAATAAATGAAACTCCGAGGCAGCGAGCCCAAGATTTGTTTAACTCACTTCACAAGGGACTTGGCACGAAGTGGACACGTGCATATTTTGAACAGAAACCACAGATGTGTTTTACCCTCCCCTCGGCAAGGCGCGTTAAGACAATTTGCGCGCAGAGCTGGAGAAGTCGATAGATCTGAAGGGTGCGATGTGACACGTTGCGTTCCCTTCTTCGTCAGCTTTCAGATGCTCCGTTTGAACATGGTAACCGGGAAATTCCGCGCCTCTGACCCCCGTCACGTACCCCTACTTTAAAAGAAACATGAATACACGCGGTAATGAGAGCCGAGCGTGGAAAAACCCTTGACAGCCACGCCCCTAGGCTGTGGCATCTGGACTTCCGGCGCGGCAGGCGCCAATTACAAGCGTCAGCGTCTGAGCCTGGGGCCCGCAGTCACTTCCCAGGATGCCGCGTTCCGGAAGTTGCTGCTTTCTAGGGGTCACTCAGGCTTCAGCTCAGTCGCTTTCTGCTCATCACCGGGAGGACGACGGAGCTGGCTGCCCAGCCCAAAGGCCCACTAGGGGATGCAGTTATGGGCGCTGTCGCCGTGGGTGAGTTCTGTTCTCACTGACTCGCAGTCATCGCTTGCCTGACTCCCTGCGCCCCTAGAGCCGGAGTTTCCAGCCTCGACCTGATTCTCTTCTCGCAGGCCCGTCATCCTTAGCACGTTACCGGCCTCAGCCCAGTACCGGGTTCTCATTGGCTTCCCGGGCTGTCAGTTGCAGGAGCTGGCCAATGAGTAGTCGGTACCGGCGCCCCTCTTGACCCTGTGGACCCCGAGGTTCCCCTGAGGGTGTGGAGCAGTTGGTGGGAAGAAAAGGGTAGGTGTGTGACTGTAAGCACTGTCGGAGTTGGGGCTGGGATTGCTGCTCTGTCCACGTGGTGGTTAGGAGAATCAGAATTTGTCACCTAACCAGTTTAACGCTCATAGAATTGGACAGATCTAAGCAAAACTTGAACGCCCTGTTTAAAACCTGCTGACAACGTTCACCAAACGCTTCCGTTGTTAATGGAATTGAACAGATAGGGAAGACTGGGAGATCAGAGATGGGTAGAAACTGGATTATCATGAGAGACGGCCAGATCAGCTTTGATTTAAATTTAAATTTTCTGTGGGGTACTGCAGAGTAATTTGACAAACTAATTTTTATTTGAAGACTCGCCTGAAAAACTTAATAGAGGTGCTGGTGTTTCATTGCTGATGGTACTCAACAGTACTCTCATGACTCATTGGATATCCTTTATAGTTGTCAAACATTTATTGGCGCTCTTTCCACAGTACTGAAATGACTCCTTACTGTCTTCTGCCTGCAGCAATTACAATTCGTCTTTCAAGTTTTCCTTTGGAGTCTGGGCTCCTGCAGTACTACTCAATCCAGATTTGTTAGTGCTGTCTTCGCTGCTGCAGACTTCATTCTTTTCCTTTTTCTTTTTCACCGGAACTTATTTGCTCCATTCTTATGTATCTACCCTTGCACCTTAAAATCATCCCTTATGCCTCAGGTACAATTCTCTTTTTCTCTTTCAATGCAAAAAGAATTTCTAGAGGACCTACTGTGTAGTAACACTATGTTAGATCCTGTAAGCAGTTCAGAATCAATGCCTAGACCCATTTCTTTTTCCTAGAACTTTAGATTACAGATTGCGAAATAATACAAGGCCAGGTTAAAAATTGAAGTAGCTCGTTGTAGAGTAAGACCAGGGAACAAGAAAAATTGTGCATACTCTAAGCTCTGGAGAAGTTCATTTGAGAAGTTGATAGAGTAGAGTGATTACTTAAGCCTTCTTTGAAATGAGTATCTTGGAGGATGGGTAAGATGTGGATAGGAGAAGAGTCCTTTCTAGCTAGAGATCAAAGACAAGAGATGGGGGTAAGTTATTTAATAGGCTACTGAAGAGACCAACTTGATTGGAAGGGAAAGAGTGGTGGTCTAGCATCCAGACACTGTTGTAGTTCTGTCTCTGACATTCTTTCACCTTTCATCATGTTGTTTGAATTTCCTATAGTGAAATGCTATATGTCAAGAGTTGTGATGAAAATTGAATGAATAATGTTTATGAAAAAGCTTGGAAGATCCAAAGCACCACTTATTACACAAAATGTAGTGGGAAGCCTTAGTTTACAAAGGACCATTCATGCAAGCTTCTGAATGTATACTGGGAAACTGCTAAATGCTTTCAATCAAGAGACTAATATGATCAGAATGGTGTCATTGGAAGACAAGTTTGGTATCTGAATGCAGCACAGCTTAGAGGGAATTGTATTGGAAGTGAGAATTTGGGTACTATTTTTTCCTGAAATTTACATTTTAAATAAACAGTTTTTTTTAAACGTTATACTTAGGACCAGAACATGCTTTATATATCCCCACATACTTTGTGTTCATTTGTTAGTCATTTATTTTGTAAACATGGAAACTTGTTACATTTTATATTATTCATTGGAAGGTTATTTGATATGGCACTCATTTTTCACACAGTCCTTTTTGAATTACCTGTAATTAGACTAACTCACTAAGAACTTCATGAAGAATGCTTCTTAATACTAAGCCAGAACAGTGATAACAGCTAAATATCAGAGTTATTTGGAAAGTGTTTGAGAAACATATGATTCAAGTCCAACTTCCCACTTGGGTAATCAGACAATTACTCTCCTTTTCTTGTTCCACCAAGGATTATTTATAGAAAACACACACACACACTAAGCTTCCCCCCCCAAAAAATAGCTATTGCAGCCATTTAAGTGATTTTGACACTTATTCTAATGTGTGTAAAATGCAGTTTTCAAAATCATTGCTATTATTGGAAGTTAGAAAGACTTATATGTACTTGTAGTACTTTTCATCTTTTCTAATTTTGAATTGTTGACTTAAGAGGTGAGGATTTGTGGCCCTCCCCGGTGGCACAGCGGTTAAAGACATATTGCTATGAAACTGTCATCAGCCACTGCAACCTGAGTTCCATCCCTGGTCAGGGAGTTGACACACATGGTGCAGCAGACCTTTCCTGTCCTGCCTGCAGCTCCCCTCAGCAGTGTATTTCAGTCATTCTGCCTGTTCTACTCCCTACTATCTCCAGTAAATCCTCTCACCCCCCACAACTCTAACATATACCCCAGTTCTTGTATGCATAAAGTAAATCTTTAGGAAAAAAATGAGGATTTGATGAGCAGCTAGATTTATTATAGTCCTCCATATAATCTTCCAAACTGATGATGGCAATAATATGATAATCTAAATAGTTGAGGATACCTGTAATCATTTCTCAGCTGATATCCAGGGAATCCTGGTGTCAAAAATGTAGAAAAGTGTATCACATTTTATATTTGGTTTTGAAATTATTTTATGAATGTTCTAACTCCCCTTAGATGGCTTTCAGATTTTTAAAACATTTATCATAATTATTAATGTAATTCATAAGAGAGCTAAGTAGGTAGCTCAAGTTATCTCGAGTTTTAAAGTACCACCATCATCCCACATTATATAGCGAGAAGTTGAATTCCCAGTATGTAAAATCCTGAGCCTTTTCATTATCTAAGAAAACCTAGAAATCAATTTCTTAAGCTATGAAAAGCAGAAGTAATACTATCACTTATGTCCATTTGGAGTTCTTAGTGAAAACTAGGTGGTGTATGTAAAGTCTTTGTAAAATTAAATAGATGTGCAAAATAATGTGGAGACTTAGTAATGTTACTTATTTCCTAGAGAATAAAAACAAACTTTTTTGCTAACTTTTTCTTGTTTTCTAGATTGTTATTTTGTGTCAGTAACTAATCCATAAAGTGCCAACATGGGAAAGAAACGGACAAAGGGGAAAACTGGTCCAGTTGATGACTCTTCTGAATCTTTAGGTATATTTCACCAGTTGAAGCTTAATGTTTATATACCTAAATGAACGTGTTTTAATGTGACAAATGGGATCAAAGTGTACATTATTGTTTTGTGATTTGCCTTTTAATGTTTATATCTACATGTCACTTGATTGTCTTCTACACTTTTAGTGGTGCAACATTCCATTGATATAAAGGATCATGAGTCCACTTATTATCTTTTACTTAGGTAATGTCCTATTATAAATCTAGGAGATCTTTAAGTTTTCTGTGTTGCAAAGTGAAAGTATCTATAACTAAATCTCTGTACATCCAGTTATCATTTTTAGTAGACATCTCTAGAAATAGAGTTACCAAATTAAATGGATTTAATGTCTTAAAGGTTCATGGTTTTCTTAGCCATTTCCTTGCCAGAAATTTTTTTACTAATGTATACCCCCCACCCTAGCACATTAATAAAGTGCCCGTTTCTCTGAACCTTTATGAACACTCAAAGGTATCATTTATCAAAAGTTTGGCTGAGTTGATAGCTGAAAAGCGGTATTTTTTTAGTTCGTATTTCTTTCCATACTTACTGAGATTCAGTAAATTTTCACAAAATACACACATTGTCCTTGCATATATAGTCTCATGGTGCAGGTCATTGGGCATAAAGCTAACTGCCCTTTGATTAGTTTATAAAATTCCAGGGTGCCTGAAACAGCCCAAACCCATTGGGGTGGTTTGCAAAGCCTTTACTTCTCTGACCTCAGGCAGGGTTTTCAGACTCAGGGCAGCTGCTCACTTTCCCTGCCATTCTGAGGAGACAGTACTTTCATACTTACCGGGTTGTAGCACTTTTGCATTGTTATTTTCTCCTGAAGTTATAGTTTAAAGTTTGAGCTTTCAAGTGAAAAACACTTGCATCCACATTCTGGTACTTATGTGACCATTGAACACCAAATCTCAGTTTTCTCTTCTGTCTTCCAGATGGTTATAAGGAGCCAGTCAGATAATAATATACAAAACATTTAGCATAGTGTCAGTTCATCGTAAATATTTAATCAATATCTGACATTTTTATTACTGTTAATATCTTCTAAGGTTGTATAAGTGTTACCTCCCCAGTGAAACTTTTATTGACCTTGCCCCTCTCCTCGTGTATTGTTGCAACATGTTTTGGAGATTCCTCTATATTTACTTATCAGCTGCCCCTGTCAGAAAATAAGATATTCAAAGAGAAGAGCTGTAATTTGGTCCCTTACATTCCCTGGCATCTATCATAGTGTATGGGCTGCATTGCTTGTATTGTTGATTGAATGGTTGACCTCTTTAGACCTTAAAAGACAGAATAAAAAACATGGCAGAAAGGGGTCCTCCCTGGTGGCACAGCGGGTTGAAGCACTGCACTGGGAGGCTGAAGCCACTTCCGCATGAGTTTGATTCCTGCCTGCACGGGATATGACCACATAGTGTGGCAGACCTCTCCTCACCCGCCCACTGCTCCCCTCAGCAGTGAACTTCATCCATCTGCCTGTTCTGCTCCCCACTCTGTCTCTGGTGAAGTCTTTCGCCACCTCTGAGTCTCTGGCCTGTACCCCAGTTCTGTATGCACAAATAAATAAATATTTAAAAAAACATAGCAGAAGGATCATTAAACACATTGACGTGAGCTTGGGTATGGTGGTTATATCTAGGGCTTGAAAGAGTAAAATGTCAAATATGTTTTAAATCTCTTTTTCACTAGTCATAATATTTAAATGTGCATTCAAAGTTAAGTTTTCAGATAGTCTAATAATTGTTTATACAGTAAATTAATATTTTGAGATTCAGGATAGATTTTGAAAAGAATTGAAGGAAGTAGTATTTTACCTTTTATTCTTTTTTTGTTTGTTTTAATAGAACCTGTGTGTAGTCACATTAGGAAAGGATTGGAACAAGGAAGTTTGAAAAAGGCTTTAGTGAATGTGGAATGGAATATTTGTCAAGACTGCAAAACAGACAATAAAGTAAAAGATAAATCTGAAGAAGAAACAGAAGAAAACCCTTCCGTTTGGCTATGTCTTAAATGTGGCCACCAGGTATGCTTAGATGTTGATCAAACACTTTGAACTTAATTGGAAGATGTTTATCTGAAAGCATAGTGGCTGACTAGGAAGCCAGCTGAGATAAGTCATGTTCCCTGGGAGCAGATTCTGAAATTGAGATTTGTGTACAGTTGGTTTGCTGAGGGATATTCTCAGGTACCACCCCAGAAAAATGTGAGGAGAGCACAAGGTTAGGCAGGGGAAGAAGTGGATGAGGAGGCAATGCTACCGGGCCTCAGCTGAACTCTGAACCAGTGAACTCTGGCCTTCAGCAATGATCCCAATCAAGGCAAGTGCCAGGCCTTTGTGCTTGTGCTGTCCCTGGGTGTGACTGCCTCTGAGGACAGGACGACGGATGTTGGGCAAGGCAGCGTCCTCCCTAGGTAAAGGCGCCTTGAGGTGTATGTTGTCAGCAGGCTGCGTTCCTGAGTCGGGGTGGCTAAGTACCTTGGTTGTGAGGGGTGGATAGTATCTCGAGGGCACATCTGCTCCCATGCTCTATCATGATTCTAAAGGTAAAGGCTTCTCTCACCTTTAGTGTTAGCAAGTTAAGTTTATATGTCAGAAAAGTTGGCTATGAGGCAGCCTGTTCTGCTTCATAGAAATTTCAAGATAAAAAGAGCAATTTAATTTTTTTAAATTATCTTTTTAAAGTTTAAATGTTGAGGGTACAATTATAATTCACATGAATTTAAGAAATTGTATAGATAACCTGTAAGTGTTGCCCAGTTTCCCCCAGTGGTGACATCTTACAAAAAACATTGATACAGTCAACCAGTCTTAATCACATTTCCCCAGTCCCGACACACACACAGTCCCTGTGTGTGTGTATGAGAGAGAGAGAGAAGTTGTGTATGCTTTGTGTCACCTGTGCAGACTGCTTTATTCACTACAGATCCCTGAAGAGTCCCATGGATCTCTTGTGCTGCCTTTTTGTGAACATACTTATTTCCCTACTGCCATCTGTCTCTCCTGCCTGGCCAGTAGTAATATCATCTCTGAACCTAAAATTTTGTCATTTCAAAATTGTTAGGCAAATGAAATCAGATAGCATACATTTTGGGATTCATTTTCTTCCTTTAACATAATGCTAAATATTCATCTACAGTGTATCAGCACTTTGTTTCTTTTTACTGTTACTTTTCTGCTTTCCTTTGTTACTTTTTACTAGTTCGCACTTCCTGGTCTGGATGTACCAGACTTTACCAATTTATCTACTGCAGGACATTTAGGACACTGATGGTTATGTCTAAGCTATTATGAACATTTGTGTATAAGTTGGTGACCTGAGTCCGAGGAATGGAGTGAAGGTGTATTTCTTAGCAGTGACTTAACCACTTGGAGGTAGGCAATCTGATCATGTATATTTTGTAGGTGAGAATCTCTCATTACTTGTTCAACTGATGTTATTTACCATTACGCTATGCTTTTTAGTAATAGGTTGTATTAGGTTGTATTGCCTTCAGATGTATAATCCAGAAGCAAAGGGTTATCAATTAACAATGTTAAGCTGGAAATTGAGGAATGCCCCCAGTAACTTACACCATGCTCTGTAGGTGTTTGGTCATAGGAAACATACCGTACGTTCTCATTTGGGAAGAAAAGCATAGGCCTCCAAGAGAAGGTTCATGATCCTTAAGTATAGGTGGGATTTGCTCACTGGCAGTTTTGCTAAAGGAGTTGAGACAAGTGTGATACCTGGACAAAGTTGTAACAGGTGAAAGCTCAGAGTCAGTTTTTAACTGGCAGTAGGTTTGAGAATGGGAACATGTGGGAGTTTGTGTTGGGAATATATACTTTGGGCAGAGGGGCTCAGGTTTGTTGAAGAGTTTGAGAACACTTGCTAATTTTTTTGAATTGAGTATATGAATAGATCTTTGTTTGGGGGAATATTAAACTGAAAAAAATATGTGTGTGAAAAAAGAGGTGAAGTTAGGAGATATTTCCAAGACTGTTCAGGAATCCAAACTGGATGAGGTACATGTGTGGGGACCCTAGCAGTGATTGTTCGGACTGGGAAGGCCAAGTTGGAGTGGCAGAGTACTTCACTGTGTGTCTTTCTTACATCTCCTCGATTGCATATTTGCATTTAAGTTTTAACAATCTGGACCCTAGAGTCTAACTTTTTTTTTCAGAATTGTTAGAATGGGAGAATTGTTTGAGTTTCATGCTGGTTTGTTATTGATTGTCAACTCTTTCCTCTATTGGTGAATTTTGTGACTGAGGTTCATGATTCTGACTCTTCAGGGCTGCGGCAGAAGTTCTCAGGAGCAGCACGCCTTGAAGCACTATCTGGCACCCAGGTCTGAGCCCCATTGTCTGGTTCTTAGTTTGGACAACTGGAGTGTGTGGTGAGTTTTAACGCCTGTGCCCACTGACTGGAAATTACTTGTGCTTTTGGAGAGCGAAAATATTGGAGAATGTTGAAGGAGCAAAAGAAAGCCAAACATTTTTGTTTGTTTAAATACCATCACTTTTAGAAGACTAGCAAAGGGTGATAGTTGATGAGAAGCTTTTGCTTAGTTTTTACACAGACACGAAAATAGTAGCATGTAAATGATTGAGAATCTTCACCTTTTTCTTGCTGTAGCATTACAAAGCAAATTGTAGGTGGTTTTTAGTTTAAAAAATTGGCATGTCAACATATTTCAGATAAGAATATACTAAAATTTTGGCAATGAATTTATGTGAAAATAAATGTCAGACTGTTGTGTTTCCTGTATTTTAACTTGAAAAGTAATGTTCACATCTTAGAAACCATTTTACAAAGTGGTATTCATGACCATAATCTGTCAGTTGTAAAATTTATTAGTTTAGATGCTGTCAGTCTGTATTTTGAAATATGTATAGGAAAGAAGTATGACTTTAATGTTCTAAGTAGCCAGTTTACTGAAATGTTTATATTTAACCAAAATCAGGTTAGCTTTAATGATGATAATCCAAGCTAATTGATAGGGATAATCATCAAGAAAATACAGACTTTATTTCTTAACTAGAATAATATGGTAGTGGGCTTGCCCTGGTGGTGCAACAGGTGAAAGCACAGCACTAGGAAGCTGTCTGCAGCCACTGCAGCACGAGTTCATCCCCAGCCAGGGAGGTGACCCAGATGGCACAGCAGACCTTGCCTGTCTCGCCTCGCCCACTGCTCCCCTCAACAGTGTGTTTCAGTAAATCAGCCTCTTCTGCTCCCCATTCTGTCTCTGGTGAATGCTCTCACATCCCCGCATCTCTGGCCTGTAACCCAGTTCTCGCATGCATAAAGAAATAAACCATTTTTTTTTTTTAAAGAGAAATAATATGGTACTTAACACCCTTTGATTCTAGGCATTTTAAATCCGTCCCTCTCTTTTGGTTGACAGTTTATCGTTTTTCTTTGATTTTTGGACCACAGGTGTTACCTATGTGATGATGAGGTCCAGTATTGTACTTCAAATCAATTGGGTCAGGTGGTTGATTATGTCAGAAAACAAGCCGGCGTTACAGCTTCAAAATCAGGTAAAAATCATTTGTTTCTTACTATGTACTATAATGTTGGTTGTATTTACTTTGTTGTCTGGAGTAAAACAATGAGAGATAGAGGGTTATTAGATAAAGTGGGGATTTCAGTGCTGGAGAAGGGACTGGTGGGAAGGCAGGTCCCAGCCAGCTGAGTCTTTGACCCACCCCAGATTGGGTTTTGTGGGGTAAGTGGACATTGTCAGGATATCCACCTTTCCCCATTGGCATCTAAGACCCACACCTGTGTTCTCACACATGGGCCTGATGGCAGCACCTGGAGTGGGCTGTGGGTGCACCGTGGGTTGAGAGACTGAGCCTAGAAGGGCAGCCCGGGGATGCCAGAAGCAGCAGTGGAGCAACAGAGCAGAAGCAGGGTAGCAGAGAGCAGAGACTGCGGGACAGTGCCGGAGATCCCAGAAAGAGTGAAGATTCGCCAGGGCCTAGGAGGCCTGCCAACCTCCTGCCCGTCCCCCCCACCCCCAGGAGGCCTGCCAACC